GCTGTTTTGTATGTATGTAAATATGTGGCGCACCTGCACTTGCTTCCAGTTGTTCAGTTTTTGTGCTGTGTTTTTTGGCTTTATCCTTTCATAGCAAATATCTTTCCAAATTGAATAAACATGCAAACCTAAATAAATAAATACACATATGGGTGTTTCCATCGGAAGGTCTACCGCGACAAAAAATAAAAAGAAATAAAAGAAATGTTTTTCCTTGTTGGTATGAATCATTGAAACGAACAACTGTCACGTATGTGACGTATGGAAAAACCCGTGTGTAAGAGTNTTATTGGAATCAGATTCAAATTACGACCACTTTTCATATAACGGCAAATTTCAGAAATGCTTGAAACTTCAATATTTCGAAATTTAAGGACGCTAATTTACTCAAAATTTATACACAGCGGCTTACCATGTAGCGGTACCTGCGCCGGGTATTTAATGTTCGGCTCCGCCCGAACTTAGACTTTCTTACTTGTTGTTTATTGCAAATCAGTGTTTTCATGATAATTGCATATGATGAATATGTGTTTAGTATTGTAGTTATTTTTATTATAACTATTAAATATTTATTACTAATAAGTAGATATGATATGAATTTGTTTGCTGTTATTATTTATATATGTATGTATGTACCTACTACCATCACCTGAAATGCAAAAATACGTAGCATCAAAGTAAATGAAATGGAAAAAGTCGTAACTAATATTTTAATTTTTTTCATAAAATGATGTGGGGAGTTCGATGAAAATCAAAAAGTGAATTTTTAATTTTTTTTTGTTATGACTTTTTGTATATCAGCGACATTATTTGTTACGTTTTTTTTTTTGCGTTTCAGGTGACGATACGTACATACATGCAAAAAGACATATGTGCTAATACGTAATATGTTTTTGTTTGTTCACATCAATTTTTCAAATTTCACGAATAAATACATACACATGTAATTTGTAGCTTAATATTTACAAGAAGCTGAAAATATATAGACAATTCATAAAACTGTGCGTTTTTGTTGTTTTAAGAATTTAACGCCGATCGGAATTCGGTAATACGTAACAAGAACGAATATTGGGGAAAACTAATACCAGTGGAAAATAAATAACAAAAAACGTGTAAACCCGATTTTAAAATTAACAAAAGAATGCCCACAAAGGGATGAGCTATCCTAATAACCCGTAGTGAATAAATTAATAATATTTTTAGAAATATTTCGGATATGCAGTTGTGTAGTCCATTAAATTTTAGTCTGATAAAGTGCAAGTTTCAAGTGACTGTAAAATAGCGCTGATTTTAGGCAAGTTTTTTGTTGACAGGGCTGCGCATTTTCTTCCAGATAAAAAATTTTTTCGAACATACTTTATATGATAGAAATGCATCACTCTGTCAACAAAAAAAAAAAAAAATCAAAAATTAATGGTATTTTGTAGCCACTTGAAACTTTCACTTCAGTATATTTAAATTGCATGGCATACGCGAAATTTTTCTATTATTACCTAATCCACTGATGGTTATTAAGATAGTTGTTACCGTTTTTCTTTATAATTTGTATAAAATTTGAAAATCAGGTTTACATGGTGTTTGTTGTATAATCTGTTATACTTTTATAAAAGTTAATGAATACAATCTACTAAGGTTTAGAAATATAAGAGACAGAGGCTTGCATTTTTACATTAAGGACTTCATCCAAAAAAAACCCTTCTTGGTCAATTCTAGCAGAAAAAAAAACAATTTTCAATGCATAGATTTCAACTTAAGTACTTAGGTAGTATATGTATGTATATTCTGAGCATGAACCAAATCGGACCAGAGATGCAGGTTTTCCAAATATTAATATTGGGCCCTATGAATTAAAAGTGAGCGCTTGAGCTTGATCTCACCTCATGAGTGCCAGGTATCTATCTTCAGTGTAACTACTATGAACTCAGTTTTAAACTATGGATACCAAAACAAGCTTCGTGAATGGACAAAGTTTTTACTTGTGAATCACTGCGAAGGTTCTGCTGATTGTTTAGTGGGATTGAAGAACGCGATTCAAAATGGAAGTTCTGGATTGATTAACAGGAAAGGCAGTGTCTGCCGTTGCAGCAATACTAATATGCAGCAAAACGTGCCACCCAATAGTCGCTTAAACTCTATTTATTTAAGCGTCTATTGGCTGCCTAGTTTTGATGCATTCTCCGCTTAGCACGTATGTTACCTTGTCTGAATTCTAGTCTAGAATATCTCCTAATGGTTCCATGCATGGTACAAAAAATGCTTGTGGTAATCACTTGCTTACAAACCCATTAAGCTCTACAGTATCGGAAATATGAAAATTGTATAAGGAAAGTGGCAAAATGTCATTGAATAGTGTTTTAATCAAGGACCGAGAACGCGTTCCGGTTTTGGTTTGGTTCTGCACGAGAACAAAATGTAATGTCAAGAATGTTGCCACAAAACAACCAAACCTGAAAAAAAATTTTGAGAGCAGCTTGAACGCAAACAATATGAGAACAAAAGGTTCGCGAAAGTTTCAGTGAAGAACGAAATGAGAACGAAAGTATCGAGAACATTTTCAAGGAGGATCAAATCAGAGCAAAAATCTGCTAGAGAACAAAACAAGAACAAAAGTTTTGAGAACTTAACATTAATAGTGAGAACCACGATTGCTGATTCTAAGCCAGAGGAAAGCTGGATCATTTCCACTTTCACATGCTTTATCATTTGGGTGAATTGTCCATTTATGGCACAACTTGTCATCTTCTGTGCAGGAAAAGTTCGGGTGTTAAATCTTTCGTAGACTTCTTTTTTGATTAGTTTTAATGTTCAAACATTTCAAACTAATGGAACGTTATGAGACAAATTTTGTTCTTGCTTCCATCCTCCGCTAAAAGTTCAGAAACGATTTGTTCCCGTTTCGTTCTTTGTCAAAGTTACTGAGACTTTAGTTCCCATTTTGTTCTCTCAGAAACGTTCCCAAAAGTATTGTTTGCATTTTGCTCTTTTTTGGGAACGTTCGACAGAGTTTTGTTCGTATATAATTCCCGTTGAGAACGTTCTCGACAGTTTTGTTTTTTAAGCATTCTTTGGGACAAAACTACAAGAAGGATATATAGTTTCGATCATAACATTTTTACTCGGTCCCTGGTTTAGTAAATGGGTAAATATTATCTGAAAATATATGAAGGAAATCGAAAATTATTCTTTATAACCTTGATATGTATTTACAATTAAGAAATGTGGATTTGAAAATTTTAAATTGGTGAAAATAATTTATTAATAATATTTTAAGTAATAACTAGGACAAGTATGCACATATGTATGTATGTACTTTAAAAATATGCTTCGCATAAACCCATTTGCCGTTATTAATTTTAGTGAATTATATCAATATTGAAAAAATAGTATTTTAAAAAATCACAATATAATCTAAAAATGTGATAAATATTCTTGCAGAGCTTACAAAAATGTGAAAGCCGGTAAAGCGAAGGAACCTAAAAAATTCATTTCTCTATTCAATCGACAAAATTTTTTTAGTTAATTGTATCAAAAATTATTTAAAGCTTTATATTGTATCCAGTGTTGCCAGTGTTGCCAGGTTGCCGATTTGGTCGTTATTTTGAAGATTTCTTACTGCTATGACGATTTGACGATATTTGTGACCCAATGACGATTTTTCTCTATGTGCAAATTTGGCTGGTTCTCAACTTTGAAGATAGTTACACAGCCAACTAAAAATTGCAGTGTCAACACCTATTGAGAGTTTACAATTTTTGCTAATACAAAATTATCGTATCGAAATTATATCATGTGGCAACACTAATAGTAGTTATCGATAAGTAGTTTTATTCTTTGTTTCATCACTATTTGTGTAGTTTTTGGCGGTCGAATTCGTAATTTTGGCATTGTGACATTGTGTATTGGTACATATTTTATTGATCGAAGGGAATTTTGAAACATGTAAGTATGAACAGTTTTGAATGCACATCGTTAAGTTGCAGTTGGAAAAAAATTAAGATGAAAATGTGATTTTATTGTAATGAAAAATATTTTTGCTAAAAGTAATGCGAATTTAAAAAATTCTTAAAAATTTCAAACTTTTTAAACTAAAAAAAAAACCTAAAAGAGCTTCCTGGTTATGTTTATTAAAATTTTTTATACGTCGAGGATTTTTACATTCAAACTGACGATGTCTCACTGCAATGGCCTGGCAACACTGATTGTATTAAAAATTGCTTTATAAATGAGGTCGAAATTTTTGCAGAGTTCAAAAGGGCCTAAGACGGAAAACAAAAAAAAATTCAAAATTTTCTCAATGTTCTGATTTTAGTAAATGAGATGCGCAAAAGCGTATGTGTTTGGGTGTGTGCTTCTGCGCATGTGTGTGTGCGTGTATGTGTGACTCAAGTCTGCTGCTAGACTTTGAGATGAGCGTGTCGATCATCAATCATTCGCTCATGCTCATGGTTGCCAAGCGCATTTCAAATCAATTACCAACACCAACAACATTGCCATTTACGAAAACAATGCACAATCGAAAGCCTAAGATCATTTCTTTGGACAAACATGCATACATACATATATACATATGTACATACATATGACTCAAGTATATACTTACACATGTATGTACATTCCTATATACATAAACACAACTTTTTTGCTTCAAAACACATACACGCACACACATACATACATACCTACATAGCGCTAGGAATTTATTCTTAAACCAAAAGAACGAATTTTCACTCCTCTTTCAAACTATCGAAACTATCATTTCGCTGAATTACCGAATGAAAAAAAAACACACACAACAACAACAACAAAAAACAAAAATAAATTAATTCGCTCAATAACATAAGCAAAATTCCCACTACCTCTGTGTCCCCCCTTCTTTAATGTGCTCTACCACCGCCATTGTCACATATGTACTGGGACATGGATTACATCAACGGTACAACTATGCCATCAACTCCGCTGCCAATCGTACCACCAACATTCAACATCACTCTACAATGCAGCCACGCCCCTCTCCACGCCAGCCACTTCACCATGTGGCACCAAATATCAAACCTACTCGTCCATATTTTTTGCCAACTTCAAGGAACAATTGGAGAAACAGCGGCGCGAACAGGAAACTGCGGAGCAACAACAACAACAACAACAGTTGCAACGTCAGCGAAAACAACAAAAAAAGTTGCGGAGCAATGTGCGCCTCTGCCGCGAGACTGCCATCAATAACAACAATAACACAAGCATCGGCTATGCCTCTAGCAGCGGTGATGCCTCGGGTGGCGACTCTGATGGCAATGGCAACCAATCGATTGAACGCGAACGTCACTTGCCCGCTTTCGATGTGGAGCATGACATGGATGATTTGGACTTGGAAGCGGAGCCGGAGCCGGAAGTGAGCGTAAATGGTACATCGTATACGACTGCGCAAAAGATGCGCATCACAGAAAATCCACTGCCGGAAACTGTGAGCTGTTAAACAGCGACGCTGGGCGTCAAAGCAGAATAAGGTGGGAAAGAAAGCGAGAGAGGAAGGAATATAGGGTGCGAAAGTAGCGAAGTAAGTTATCGTGGAGTTTAGAGAAGTGGTCGAACAGAGTCAAAGGACCTGCTATCAGTCAACTTTGAAAAATGTTTGTCACTGCTATCAGAAATCGACGCCATGTAATACCAATTTGAATAGAAGTAATGGAAACAAAAAAAAACTTTTTTGACATAAAACAAAACATCACGCACGCGCATATGCCACCAGCAATTGCTTGAGCTGAAAAATAAATTAATTGCTAGTTGTCAATAAAAGCAAATGCAAAAGCTGCAGCGAAAAACCGCCCAAAAAATGCTAATTAGAATAATAAAAAAAATTATTTACAAAAACCGTTATGTTTTTTAGTTTATATATAAGTATGTGTATGTATATTTTTGTAGTACTGAGAAGACAAAACAAGATGCGGTTGAAAAGGGAAAATGCATACTAGGGTGGTGCTTAATGCATATATACGTATGATTGAACATATGATTTGTAAAAAAGCTAGACATAATTTTTTGTTAGCCTAAAAATATTTTGGTAAACTTGTGCAAAATTTTTAGTCAAATTATGAACTGCACATAAATCTTTTGGATATTTAAGAAAATGACAAAATTTGTTTGGTAATTTGTGAACTGGACGTAAATTTTTGGCAATCTAAAACCTGGACATAACTTTTTGGTTATTTAAAAATTTGTCCAAAGTGTGTTTCAATGTAAAAACTGGACATAATATTTTTTTGGCAATACATTTTTGGTCATTTAAAGCTGGTAATATAAAAGTTCGAAGTAAATGTCTGCATAATTTTTGGTAATTCAGGAGCTGGACATAAATGAGGAGACATTTTTATAAATGAACATAATTTTTCTAGTAATTTAGGAAGTGGACATGATTTTTTGGTTAATAAAAAAATGTCTGGTTATATAAGAACAGGGCATATGCAACTTTTTTGGTAATATATTTGCTAGACATAAATTTTTTGACATTTAAACACTAGAAATATTTTTTGACTAATTTTATGAACAGTTATTTTTTATTGACTATAAACCGGATATTATATTTTTTGTGTCCAGCTTGGACACATGGAGTGGACATAGTTTTTTAATTTAAAAACCGAACTTTATTTGACCGATTTTCATGAGATGGACATACATTTTTAATAATTAAAAATATGACATAAATCCGTGGCCATTAAAAAGCTAGACATTTTATTTGAGTAATTTAAAAAGTTAACATAAAATTTAACTAATTTTTAAGTGAACATGAATTTTTGGCCATTGTAAAAGAAGCAAAAATTTCATATGAATTTAATACATAAACTTTTAGTCATTTAAAAACTGGACATATTCAAGAACTGGGCATACATTTTTAGATATTTTAAAATAACATGCATATACATAAATGGATGTACATACATTTTTAGTAATTGAAAACAGGACATAAATCTGTGGCTATTAAAAACCCAGAAATTTTATTTGGGTAATTTAAAAAGTTTGTAACTAAATTTGTGTTCACTTAATTGTTGGTCATTTTGAATTAAAAAAATTAACAGAAAATTTAACTAAATTGTAATTGAACATACATTTTTGGCCATATTAAAACGGGGCATCATTGCTGAGCAATTTAAGAACCAGACGCAAATTATTAATCTTGGTTAATGAACTGGACATGGGGTTTTGGTCATTTAAAAACTGTTTTCTTATGGTGCGAGTACGTAGTTATAATTATGTATATTTCCCAAAATTTATAAAATATTCGAAAATTCGCGAAATTAACAAAAATAGCTAGCAAATGTACACTGAAAAAGTTATAGCACCATCTGAGCAAATGGAATTAACTTAAAAGGTGAATTTACTCACGAGAATTCAATAAAATTAAATATGAGTTACGAACTAAATTTGCAAAAAAATTTAAAATTAAGTTTCAAGTTCTTTTTTCTTATTCTAAATAATAAAAAAACATTTCTATGGTACATTAAATACTTACTATCTATTTGTTCGTACATTACATACACGGCGTATACGCAACGCAAGCATTTAGCACAGAAACACTAGCAGTTGCAGAATGATTTTTGAATACAATTAAATATGTACCGCTCAGTTTCTAAGGCTGTTCTGTGTGCATTCACGACACCCATCCTGTATTGACCTTGGACATATCAAGATGAAATTGATGTAGGTTGGGGGTTGTCGAAAGTCTCCTCTTATTAACCGACTTCCAAAAAAGGAGGAGGTTATCAGTTCGTCGGAATATTTTTTTTTTTTTGTTTTTTTTTTTTTATGTATGTTACCGCATAACTTTGGGCTACGTCAACCGATTTCGATAATTCTTTTTGCAGGAAAGGTAGTGTCTCAGAGGTGGTCCCATACTAATCTGGTTAAGATCCGATCAGCGGATCATGAGAGATATATATATATATATTTTTTTATATGAGAGTTGAAGTCGGTTTTTTTTTTTGCTAAAAATTACTAGTTTTAGTATACCCGTAAGTCTCCACTTATTTTCGTTATTTCTTAAAATGTTGACCTTTCAAAACAACCTTTTCAACTGTTCTAGAATGTATGCGGGCGTATGCCGCCAATAGGCCGATCTGACAACATCACAGAGTCTTCAATTGACCCCTTATAGTAGATAGTAGATTTTACCTCATTGTCATCTAAACAGCTGCGGCAGTGAAAAGCTGAAAAGCTGGTGTCTCACCACGTGAGACTACCAATGGGGCACATGTCCAATTTTTTGCTTGGCACTCACAGAGCTGACACGAGGCCTATCTGTCCCAATAGTCGTCTGCATGTACAAAGAACTATTCCTACTCTCCCTTTCCTTGGTGAGACCGACTCGAGGGTGTCTCTCTTGGCCAACTCAACCGCAATTTCTGGAACACCAAAATAATCAGATGCAACTGAAAGAGATGTAGGCTTGGAGAGCACCGTTAGCGAATGCAGCGCCCCGAAAGCCACTTGGTCATCAGAGTTGATGTCTTTCTAACTTGCCGACATTACGCACGTGAACACCAATTGACAGCTAGGTTTGCCTGCAAAGCACTAGAGTGATTTGGAGCTTAAATTTGAGGTTGACGGAAAGCTCCTTACCAATGATCCTTGCACCAACCGCTCCGTCAAGCTTCGACTACTATTTCACGTCCACTCATCCCTAGACGGTATGAATTTAGGAAGGACCCGTTTACGCCAGTCTGGGCATGCAGTAGTTCGTGTTATAAGGTATAAAGTCGAAACCTCCAAGAATACTGCATACAGCTTTCAAGAGCTTAGTCATTTAAGCACCCAACACGCTGACACATTTTTCATCTACATCCTTATAATTGTCTTCAGTTTAGAAAATGTACATATTCTTCTCGAAGTCATCTAAATAGATTTTTGTGCGCGTTCATCCAAAGCTGCGTTTATTGCTTCAATGATACAAAACCGTTCAGAAAACCGACCAAGAATCACAGCACATCGAATTCAATTGCATTACGTTTGGCTGAAATTTGATGTACAGAAATAGACAGAAGTCCTAAATTAGGTCGCCGTAGCCGAGCTGACCTTAAATCCCAAGAAAAATGCATTCATAATTTTTTTTTCTGTATTCTGAAACATTCTGCAACTGCCTTATTGTGCACCTGGCATAATAATAAAGGAAATATTGAAAATCAAATACTTAACCCACTATTTGTTTTGCTTTATTTTATTTAGAGTTTCACTTTGTGCCTGAAATATTTTGATGATTATTAATTGTACTGTAATCAAGAATGAAATTACATAAATAAGTTGAAAATAAATAAATCCGAATACATATGTAAAATAAGAAAACACTTCAACCAGGAAAGCCGAACGAATTGCAGGGATTGATTAAAATGAATAATAAACTATTAAAGTTGTGCGTTTAATTAGATAGCGTACGCAAGAATGGTTAGATCTGAAGGAGGATAAGACATAAAATAAAAACAATTTGAAATAAAAAATATCAAATGAAATAAAAATTTAACGAGCTTTCTTGTTGCAAGCGATTTTTGCTTATTGTTGAATTTAGCTAAGCGAAAGATAAGCCACTCTGAAAATTTGCAATTTCAAATAATTTAAGAAATTACACTTAAACGCATACACACATCGAGTCGCGACCGCTAGAAAGATGGAAGCTACATTTTTTCAAATTTTCTTTTTAATGCAGAATTGTTCCTAGAGCATCTATGTATTTACATTTCTGCATCAAAACTAAAATTTTGAAAAAATGTCGCTTACGTCTTTTTGGAGGTTAGGGCTCGAAATACTTATGCCCTACTACATAAACACTACTATGTATGTATGTATATCAAATAGTAAACGAAAGGAAAGTAAAAAATGAATAAATTTCAAAATATAATGATAACTTTTAATTTTGAGAGTAAAATAACCCTTTAGTAAAAGCTTGTGAAATTAAAGCTTCAAAATCAAAATAAAGCTGTAGACGGCTAAAGTTACTAGATTTAATTAATTTTTCGAAAAATACCTAGAACACAACTAAGTTTTCGAGAAAGCAGTTGAAGAAGAAATTGTTCGAAATCAAAATTAAAAAAAAAAAACCAACGTAAAATATCGACTTACAATTGAAATTACTTTGAGCTACTAAAACAGGAATGGAGGTTATTTGTGAACATCCTTAATGTTTACATAATACATAATATTAGTTAGAAATAGGAAGGAGGTCATCCTTGCATATCAAAAAAGCGAAGAAAAAAATAAAACTGAGAAACTAAATTTAAAAACAATGAAGGTAAGAAAAGTAGTACACTGTACGACTTACTGAAAGTGATTAAGAGTGATCAGGAAGCGGGTACACACATCATTTATAAAAAATTAGTTCAAGTAGTTCGATAAGGACTAGGGGACTCCTTCATAAAAATTATAATATATATATTTGTACATATGTACATATTTATTTTTAGGAATCCAAATTTTTCATGAGCTTGAGGTTAGGATCGGTCGAAGTAGTTGCCATAGCAGGGGCACATTTGGATCACCAGCATCGGTTCTTTGTGATACCACTACGAACTGCAAATGCTAAGCTAGTAAAGCTGGGCACCAAGAGCAACATTTAGCAAGCGTTATATGTGAGCCCCGGAAAGCTCCCCAGAACTTCATAGCTAAAAACTACGCTGCAAGGTGTTTACACCGTAGCCCTACTAAAGGTGATTAGCTTTGGAGAATTTATGGGTATGACTGTAAATCATCGTCCTGTGAGTAGCCGCGAAAGTGAGCTTCTGGTGTGATATTTAGTCTAGCCGGTTGTGCCCTTTCCTTGCACTCAACAGAAATGAGAATTGCGACCCAGCGTTCGCAGAGCTGTCAACAGATCCTTTTGCCACTTTTCGATGAGACTGGCTCGAATATCATTATGGCCTACCAGCCATATATGTAAGTAAGTCTGATTAGAAAATATTCAGGCACAACCGAAAGTGTGGGCATGCATTAGAGTTGTTAGAGAGCGCTCTGCAAAAGACCGAACCCCCCAAAAATGAGTCCAAAATGAGCCGTATAAGAGGTCAATAAGAGTGAAATATGACTCATATTAAGGCATATTTGATGTATGAATTTAAGCTTATATAAGTCGACTTTCGGAGGAAGAGAAGCAACCTCATATTGGACTACGAAATGGGACTCTTTAAAGACTCCAAATGTTTGTTGGGATTCATCAGCTAACTATATACATATGTATAGATTTCACTATGAAAGTTGTGAGTTAACTCTCTACTGTGAAAATGGTCCCAAGGGCGCTATTTCACTGTTTTCTAAATTCGTACTTTCTGAGTCCGCCGTTTTTCCTGGCCTGACCTGGAGTTTGTACAATGTTTAAGCGTATTTTGGTTTAAAATAAGTTATCGGATCTCGAAAACACATCCTCTAACACCACTAGTGACCTATCTCAAAAAAAGTGCTGGTTAACGTTTCAAAATTATACTCGCTTCCAGGTAACTTGGATTATTGGCAATCTGTACATACCTGCAGTGGACTTCCAGAAAGTTTCCAGAGATTAAACGTATCTGCCTGCGCTTACGAAATGTGGCATATATCCTAAAAGTAGACTACATATGTACTTTTTAGAAAGGGTTGGGCTTTGCTCTTCTTTTCAGCAGCGTTCTCGGTTAGAATCCCTGTTCTTGAATCCCATTTTATGAGATCGTCATTGAAGTATCTATTCTCTTGACTCCTTCTGTTCACTCTTAATGGCTGCACATTTATATTACCTAACTTACCTAAGTGGCAAAAATAAATATGATGAATGTGAAAACAAAACTTAAAATTTATTAAAACACAAGATGAAAATAAATACAAATGTTGTTATCCCTTGAATGTTGGAACTATTTTATCTAACATAAAAAAACGTATAAAAAAATATAAAAACAAAAATAAATGTATTACAATAAACTAACTGAAAACAAAATGATAAAAAGTAATAAGAAAACAAAAACCAGAAAAGTGAACTGCAATTAAAATTTAAAAAAATAAATACGGCTGAAGGACTTTATTAGCAAAGCAATCATATGACAAGGCACATGCTTATTGTTGATATCATTATGAGCATATATAAATACATACGTACGAGAGAAAAAACCCGCATAAATAAATTTAAAATAAATAAATATTGAGTGATTAAATTTATCTAAATGCAAATAAAAGTGAAGAGAAAATACAAATATACTTACCTATACACATACTTACATACATACATACATACAAAGTAAAAAACAAAGCTTGCCTGCAAATTAAAGAAAAAAACCTCAAAGTATTCAATGAAAGAGATAAAGCAGATAAAAAAAAATTAAAACAAATTGTGCATTTGCAAAATACATTAGTGCAGCAAAAAAAAATAGAACTAGCTGCACCAAGAGCATTAACTTATGAAAACACATACATACGTACATACATACATTTATACACTTGCATACGTACATCATATACAAACATACACGAATATACAAGAAAAAAAAAACAATAGCGAAAATGTAATAAAAATTGCTTTTATAAAGAAAACTTGTTGGTTTGAATTTTGGAAGTGAGGTAAGTTATGGTACTAAAGGAGTTTTCTTTTTTTAAAATTTCTTGAAAATTTAGGGCATTTGGTGAGTGGATAAAGCATGGAAGATCAAGGTGAGCACAATCTTTCTATCTTTTTATGATTTCGATTTGATTTTAGGAAACTTGAAAGACGGCCATTTTTGAAGTACTATACATCGTAAGACACCGCCTGAATCTATGTACTATGAAAGAGTGTACATACATTTTCTTAACATTTGGCGCAATTTAAGCCATTTGGACTAAACTGTGCATGTAGTTTTTTTCTTTTTTATAGTACGAATTTATGCCAATTACTGCTACTGTAAGTAGAAAAGACCTAGTCAGTAAGTTTTTTTTTTTTCAAAGGATAGACGTCCTATGTGATAAACCATACCGACTTGATGTTGAACTTTTTGCTAAGAACTTGTAGACCGTAGGCTACCTAAGTTCTCTTACATTGAAAATTCTACAAAAGAATACCTGCACAACAACCTCTCCTTTCTATATTCAAGGGCAGATCAAGATGTCATATGAGCAATCTTGAGGTTCATCCTGTCTGGAGCCCAGTCTAGAACGTAAAGCTTCAAAGAACGGTGGTTCCCTGTCCGGGCTGACGAACTTATTTACCGCTATTCGGAGATGATTACGAAACGAAAACCTCTCCGCAAACAGGCCATCATTTTAAAAGTGAAGAGCAGCAAAAAACGTTTTTACATGCTTAGAGCTGTGTATAAAGGGCCCTAACGTCCGTTTGGCTATATGGAAAGATCACCATTGGGGCACATATTACATCGTTGTACAGTTTTATTCTGGCTTATGTTGGGAATGCCAGTATCTTTGCCTGCAAAATATGGGACCTCTGTCTATTCCAATATAACGTTTAGGGCCAGGTTCATAAGTACCCGTGTTGGCATAGAGTCGAAAAACCCACTGCTTTCCAACTCTCTTATTTTACTAAATACCTGTTTGATTGTTGTTCTTATGAAGAATATCGTCATGGAGCGAAACCATTGTAGAAGTCACTACAGAGCCACGATTGTTGCAGCTCTCAATACAAGTCTCTTACTGAGAGAAAAGCTAAATTTTGGAGCTTATTTAAACGTTGAACGACAGCTTTTTGTAAAATTTTCGACGGTCAAACTCAGCTATGTGGTACGCAATAATCGGACGGATGATCAAGCGGTATTTCTATTTTATTAACTTTGAGCTTAAGCCTCACCTGCGATCATATACACAATCAAATATGGCCTGTAGGACTTTAAGTTTCTCGCAAACGGTGAGATTCTCATGAGAAGAGGAAGAAATTCACTTACATTCTCACTCTTAGTGTAGATAAGATACTCATTCCCTTTACTAATTAGACGGCGAGGATGATAGTGAATTTCCGTCCACATGAGAATTATTCTTATCGTTTACAAGAACCTTTACTAAGAGTGTTATCCCAGTGGAAGGTTCAACTCGGCTTCTTTATGAGGGATTATACCAAGACATTTAGCCTCGTCAGAGTATTTACCTACTGTAAAATTTGTATAGCTTGAGCTTTCGAAGCTGTATAGTTTCAAGGCATGGCAATTTGTATATATCCGTAGGGATCAACCAAATTTCACAGTTTATCTAAACCAAGAGCAATGTTGAACGTCAGAGAAGTTTTCTTAACAAATCGGAACACTTTGTTGCACCTTTTGGCAGCTGCCACCAAATTTGGGAGAAAGCCTACTGCGAAGAGACTGTGAGTATGAATTCATAATTAAACTTTTATTAGCAGCTTAACTAAACGCTATGAATTTGATACTTTAAGAACGCAAGTCAAGGGTTCGTTTAAACAAATTAAAAGTTTAGACATTTTGCAATATTAACATTATTTTATTTAAAAATTACTGTATAATTTCGTTTAGTTCTCGATTTTTCGAGTGAATGAGATAAATTCCAGAATACATTCAAAACGTAGTAAAGATTTCTCAGTTATACAGTTATTTCCGCGCTGTTTGCACTGAGAACCTTTAAGCTTCAACAGGTTCTTCTGGTTGTTCAACCTTTGCGGGTTCCTCGCCTTGTTCTGGTTGTTCAACCTTTGCGGGTTCCTCGCCTTGTTCTGGCTGCTCATCCTTTGCGGGTTCCTCGCCTTGTTCTGGCTGCTCATCCTTTGCGGGCTCCTCGCCTTGTTCTGGCTGCTCATCCTTTGCGGGTTCCTCGCCTTGTTCTGGCTGCTCATCCTTTGCGGGCTCCTCGCCTTGTTCTGGCTGCTCATCCTTTGCGGGTTCCTCGCCTTGTTCTGGCTGCTCAACCTTTTCAGGTTCCTCACCTTGTTCTGGTTGTTCAACCTTCTCGGGTTCCTCACCCTGTTCTGGTTGCTCATCCTTTTGGGGTTCATCAGCCTGTGGTTGTTCCTCCTGTGGCTGTTCGTTCATTTGATGCTTGTGCTCTTGCTCTTGTGCCAATTGGAACATCAGCTTGGCAATAGCTTCGGCAACTTCCTCTGGCACGGTGATGTGAGCCGAAGCTTGCATTGCTGCATCGATGGTAATTGGTGGCAATTGCTTCTTGTGTCCATTTCCATGTCCTTGTCCTTGTCCTTGTGGCTGTTTCTGCTCTTCTGGCTGTTGTTGTTGCACAACCTCTGAGCTCTCAATGGATTCAGCAGACAAAGGCAATGCTACGGCCGATTGGACTAGCAAGTAGGCGCAAAGCACAGCGGCAATAGTGAAAGAGGCCTTCATTTTGATAGTTTTTTAATTGCAAAAGAACGTTTAACTTGCTCGAAATTCGTTTGACTGCTTGATTGTTTAATGGGATCCGGTATTTATACCCAGTTTGTAGTGGTTTTTATCAATAAAACTTTCAAATAAGTAGATGCACTTGGCAGTGCTGAACGATGTAATTAAAAGTCGAGTATCTGTGATGTAACCGAATAGCGGGCAATAAAAGTTGTTGAGTTGTTTTTTCACACAGTCAAGAATTAATCTACGACCTAAGAGCCAAGGGACCCTCGAAAATGTACCGGTTTTATGTTTACTTTGTTTGAAGTGGTCAATTTAGTAAACGTCTTATATGTTGCATTGACAAGATATTGCAAATGACTCAGAGTTTCAAGCAGTGAAATTATAAAGGCGTAAAATATCAACTATTTCACTTCCTTATGGTTTGATAAGGAAAATGTTGTTTCATTCTTGCCAGCAAATTAAATTAAATTTAACAAACAAAATACTCATAATTTTTTGAAACCTTTCAACACATACATACATCCGGTTTACTTGTCGAATTCCAAAACGATTTAAAATCATTCATGAACTTGCCCAGATATCAGCAAATCACGTTGCTATTAAAAAGTTTGATTTTTTTATATGGAAAAAATGAACGACACCTTAAACAAAAAAAAATGCCAAAAATCCTAGCTACCTGAGACTTGCATGACTTGCAGCCATGCGATTTTGACACATTATAGAGGAGCTAATACTGCCTGCGGATCTATCTCAAGGGCACTATTCCAAAGAGGCTTAGATCTCTGTATTATCGGGTGGACCGACACTATACTTCGTGAGCGTAATATAAAATCGCCGCTAGGCAACACAAGCCACAACACAAAGGTACTTATTTTGAACAAAATACCAGGTCAAGGAATTTGCGAGTTTTTCTAATCTAAGCTAAAGCAAATCTGCTCCAGGCCGAGAGGTCTGGCCAAATGGTTTACCTGAATCGGATCGAAGATCAGGGGGGTTTGTCTATGAGCTGCCACAAATCTATCTATCAGAATGGGTATTAGATTCACGGTCTTTCAGGACGAAGTACTAGAAATCTCAATTTGTGACGGACTGAACCTTTAAAAGGATTTGAAAGACGCTTTTATAGTAATTTTCAGACAACCAGGCGGCCATTAGCGCTCTATCCAATAGGATGATTAACCCTATGTTCATCAAGGAGTGCAGTGATGCTCTCGAACTCTTGGCAGCAAGAACACGATGTAACTATTTTGGGTATCAGGACAGTGCGGGATCGCAGATGAATTGGCTAGAGCAGGCTTATAGTATGTACTTGTGGGAGCGGTACGGTTTTGACCATTTACAGGGACCTCCTTCAAACTTACAATGGAAGCGTGCGTAAGCTTAGAACGCAGTAAGTACTGGGGAGAGATAGGGGGCATTACACAGGAAGTCTTTTGAACAGAGCCAACATCAAGTCCCTTATTGGTTACTTAACCGGTCATACTCACCTTCGTACTCACATGCAGGGGACTGGCCTGACCACAGATACGGATTGCCGTCTTTGTCTTGAAGAGGAGAAGACGTCGAAGCACATAATGTGTGATTCTCCAGCATTGGCCAGACTACGGCTCATTACTTCGGTTGATACCCTTAATGTCAGGAATTCATCTACAAAGAAACTGTTAGCTTTATTATGGATGCTGATAATATCTTAGGCCGTGAGCGTGAAGAACTAACTATCTGAGGATATATAAGATATGCTTGGTCACAGTGTCCTTTGTTTCTGTTGCACCCGTTAAATTTACATTACTTAACTGAAAACATTTTTTTTTAGCCTTTTGCAGCAAATGCGTGATATACCCTGTTTGAACATTAGGATGGTACAAAAAAAAAAGAGTAAAGTCAGAATTTTAATGCTCTCACCGCCTAGGATTGTTCTATACCGAAAAAATATGCTCCGGTTTTTCATTTTGAATCGTGCGAAAAAAACAATTTTTAGTAGAATTGGTATAGAATTCATGAAAATCTATATTTTTCGATCGGAAAACTCTTTTTTACTTCAGATCCTCAGGGGTTTATTTCATAAAGCGACAGTGATAATTTTGTAATGACAGGCATTTTCCATGTTGTTAGTGACAATTCGGTAGTTTGGTGGATGTTTTGTTGCATAAAAATAATTGGCACCACCTCATAAATTCCATTGAAAAAGTGACAAATTGTCATTGTCGGGGTTTAAAATTGCCGTTGACAAAATTGTCGCCAGTCATATGAAATTTATATGTAAATCATATGTAGTAATTGCATTTGCATTACTTTAGTTTTAAGAAATATTTAAATTATTGAAAAGTAATGAAATGCGCGCAATTACCATATAAATACATTTACAAAACTCTCCTGTGAAAGCTTTCCGACGGAGCTATTTGGTTTTGTCGCTATTGTCACGACAATTTCGTCAGAGTGACAATTGTCGGCACAATTGTCGACAATATTCCATAATATCACCGTCGTTTTCCAAAAATGTTCACAGTTGCCTACAAGCGTATATGAATCAGAAAAAATGTCGCCTACAATTCTGGCAGTGAAATTTTATAGATACATCGACAATTTCCGCACCAGTCACTTTTATGAAATAGAACCCAGGTCCTCGCATTGCATTTTTTGGGACACCTGTGAAAAGTAATTAATATTAAAAAATTGTTAAATAAATAATTAACTATTATTATTGGAAGTCTCCTGAAGACTTCGAGAAAAATGAATTTTCAAGAATTGTAAACCATATCTAAGAAAATTATTTTGTCCCCATATAAAATACATGGAAGACTTTGAGCGTCCTCTAAATATTGTTTGATTTCTAAAAAATAACACAATGATGGTGTCTTTTTTGGTATAGAACAAGCGTAGGGGTGAGAGCGTTAATATTCTCACGTTACTTTTTAGGATCACCCTATTGTACATACATCATATACCAAAGCACTAGAATTAGCCTAATATTTACTCACGACTACAAATCATTAATTAAAATAAATTTGAAATTGCTTTTATGTAAAAAATTATATTTTATCTAATGCTCAACTGAATTCTGGGGTTGATTACTTCGACGGCTTTTCTACTATCACTTTTGAGGAGAACAAATCGGTAGCTAGGCTCTTATGTACATTAGGGTAGTCCTAAATATCAAATGAAGGATTTTTTTGTTTTAAACTAAATACAAATTTAATGAAAATTTAACGGGTTCTCATCAAAATTTTAAACTTTTTATAGCGCTATTCATTATTATTATTATTTAGTACAACAATGTACAAATTTAAAGTGGCTTAGAAATCGAGTTAATTTTTAACAATTTTTTTGCTGACGCATCTGTCATTTTATAACTGTTCGAATGTGCCACGATCGAATTCATTGAATTAAACGGATTCCGCGCTTTGCTCAGCAGATACTATTAAAAATACTGAACAGTTTTGAATTCGTTGGACATTTCTGAATAAGAATAGTTTTATTCCCGTTAATTTATCACAGTTTTAAAATATGCGCTTTTCGCGTAAAGCATGGCTTCTCCTACCACTATGTGACGGCTCTTTTTTTGTCGAAGTTTTTGCGCCTTTCTTCCATATAAAAATTGGTTTTTTTCATGCGTCAATGAATTTTGTTGAAAACAATAATTTTTTTCGAAATTGTCTCGACTTTAGCGGGAGGTCCAGATTTTTAACCTAAAATATCCCGCGGGACAAGGACGGACTCATTTCATAAAAAATATAACACCACTTAAAAAAAAAATAAAACAAAAAATATGTATACTAAAATCGCAAAAAATGAAATTACTACCACACTCGGACGACTGCGGTGACGTTCGACTTTCTCGACAATGGAACGGGCGTGCTAACCACCTCGGCCACATCCGACCAATTCAAATCGATGTAAAGTTGCTATATCTAAATAAGTAATTTGATTTATTTTGCACTAGATGGCGCTCTACGAGGCGTTTAAGATTAGTCACAAACCATCAGTACAGGGTGTTAGCAAACTACTTGGATCCAATTTATACTCCAAACACCGCTCACCACCCTGCTGGACTAGTTTTGAAGCTAACTGTTAATTAGATGTCGACTAGTGGTAACTATTTATTAACCATTTCCTTTGGCCGTAGCTAGCTACTTTTGAAGGACGATAGCCGCAAAATAGTGAGAACTGGTTTCCTTTGCATTAGATGTCAACTAACTTGTAGCTAACTACTTATGAACATAAACTATTAATAAAAAAAAAATATATATATATATACATATTGTGATTATGAGAGCAACTCAAATGCCAAATAAAAGTAAAACAAAGCCCAAATAGATGAAAATATTCAAATTTTCCTTTGTTTGAGACTGAAAGTGAGAATTTATTTGTGAGATTGAAAATTTGAAACCAATTTCGTTATGTAAGCAAACTTCAAAAATGCTGCCTCTCAACGGTTTTACCTTAAATTTTTTGTATCATGCTTGTTTCTGGACCTCTATGGAATTTTTTTTTCCCTGGCGAGAGAAGGAAGTGGCACTAAAAACACACTTCGTGGGATTCGCTCAAATGTATAGGCCCGTATGTAGCTCTCAAGAAAACGGCCAAGAAAAAAATTGCCATTATTTCGTGTGTGGGTCCAAGGAAGTTTGACGTCTGATACTTCAAAAGGCGGTTACCTCACTCTTTCCTTAAGAAATAATGAAACGGGCATATATTTCTGTTGCAATCATGGGTTGCCTTGTGCTCTTTTTTCACAAAAAACTTTAGAAAACCGTAGTAGAAAGCGTAACAAATTTCGTAAGAACTGCGTATTGCCGCAAAAAAAAAATTTACACAAGAAAATTTGTTAGCCAATTCTTCTACCTCATTTTATAAGGAGTTTTTGCTTTTCTTGAGAGCTGCATAATGGCCTTGTAAATAAACCACAAGAAAAAAATTCAATTCAACGAAAAAAAGAAATCATTGCCACACCCACACAACTGCGGTGCGATCATTTCCCAACAACGGAGCGGGCGCGCTAACAACTTCAACCACATCGGGTCAATATTCCTCTGCGTCAAGTTGTTATATGTACGTAGATTATATCTGTACGTCCTCTGCTATATGTTCGCAAAGTAAGTCATATACTTTGCACTAGAGGGAGCTCACGACGACTATAAGCCGATTCACAAACCATAAGTACAGGGTGCTAGAATACTTATTAAATTGGTACCTTTTCTTTTTCACTCAACACCAGTGATGATAAAGTTGCAACAATTGTGCCTTTTTGGCACAATTTGAAAACAAAAAGTACATTGACAACACATAGACCATTTTGGTACTATTTGGAAATGTACCGCTGTGGATATCGTCGCCTGGGTAAAAGATTGTCTATATTAATTTCAGCAGGTTGTGGGAAATCGCGATTGAAGTTTGGAATGCAATTTCTCTAAAACGCGAAGATAGATTTTCTCCAAAATATCTGAAAATAATACTAGTTCACAAAATTCTTAAATAATTTAATTTTTGCTGTTTATTGTTAATCAGTTTTGAGTTTATGGATTTTCTTTAGTCAAATTTTGTCGTAAGCGACATTTGTCCACAATTTGGCAGCCACTTTGTATGAAATACGACAAAATGTGATCAAAACTTCTACCAAATTAACAATACTTTTTACTCAATATCTCGGAAACTGAAATAGATATCCGAAAACGGAGAACGCCGTTTTTAAGATATTGATTAATTTAATATGACTGAATCACTAGCTAAATTTTTAATAAACTATCGAAAAAATTGTAGTTAATATCTCGGAAACTAAAGGAGATATCTAACAAGTAAGAAAGTCTGAGTTCGGGTGGAGCCGAACATTAAATACCCGGCGCAAGTATTAAATATATGTTTCTTCACCTTTCCGAAACCTTCCGCTAGATGGTAAGCCGGGGTGTATCAATTTTGAGTAAATTAGCGTCCTTCAATTTCGAAATATTGAAGTTTCAAGCATTTCTGAAATTTACCGTTATATGAAAAGCGGCCGTAATTTTAGTCCGATTTCAATAATTTTCAACGCTTTGCTTATATGTGGCAAGCACAATAACCACACCGAGTTTGGTACAAATTGGTAGAACGGTTACCGATATACATATATGTGATCATAAGTGGGCGGTGCCACGCCCATTTTCCAAAATTTTACCATAAACGTATTTCTTGGTAAAGAATTGTTGCAAGCATCAATTTTGAATAAATTAGCTTCAATATTTACTGATTTATCGAAGATTTTGTATTTCTCTAAATTACCGTTATATGGGATGTGGGCGTGGTTATCGTCCGATTTTAAAAACACTGT